AAAAAAAAAAAAAAAAGTGGGGGAGACCTCATTAAAAAAACCCAAAGCTGCCATGCTGTCTCGCAATTGGGTGGGAGGAAGGGAATGACCACTGCAATTTTGGATTGATTGCTAGAAGTTTGCTGCAATAATTTGATTCAACCCATCCTGGACTCCTGTTTCTGAGACGGGAGAAATGCAGTTCCTGCTTTTACAAACTCTTCCTTTCTCTCTCAATCTGTAACTTTTCATAACATATACATGTGTGTGCACTCAGTAAGTTTGTTTTCTCTGCAGATTGACTCTGGATTTTTTCATGAAAGCGATCTCAAGATAATTGCAAAGTCAATACGTGACAGAGTAGCATTAATACAATGGAGAAGAGACAGAATTGGGCCCAGGATCCAGTCAGAGGACCGTAGAGATTCTGAATGTTTGGAGAAACTGAAGGTCCCACATGCACAACAGGTTCAAGTTACGTACCTTTCCCATGCTGGTCACCATATCCCCTCAGAATCAGAGGAGCCAGAAGCTGACCAGCATCCATTTCAGCAGAACCTGCCCACCAGCGTCACATCTGTTGCATGTAAGTCTCATGTCTGCTTTACTGCTTCCCAGAGGAGTTGTGATTATCGTTGTGGAAAGATCATCAGTACCCCGAGCTAAACATTGAGCCATGTGTAATTTTGCACAATGTAGTTCACCAGTGTATCAATACATGGGGCATTCTAAATTCCACAGAAAATAACTGGAGAACCTGCACAAAACATCACACCTGCTTTTTGAACAGTATTTGATTGATACAGGTGTAGGGCAAATAAACACTGGAAACATTGAAGTGTTATAATAGATTGCTGAATAAGGTAACTGAGATTTTCAATAATTCAATATTCAAATAATTCAGCTCCCTAAGAGATTTCACATGGACTGTTTATAAGGGCACTGCTGAGCTTCTTGAGCAGTATTATCAGACTTTCAGTTTTTGGAGCCTTGAATTACCCTAGAAAAAATGTAGAAAGGGAAGTGTTTCCTCAAGTGAAGATTTGGAAGGAAAAAATACAGAATAAGAACCGTGTGTATGTTCTGTGGCTTGAAACTGTGTTATGGAGCATGTCCTGTATTGCTGAATGAAGTTGGAATGATTTTAAATACCCAGCATCAGCTACTGAAAGATAAACCTGAGATTTTTATTTCTGAAATTAAATGTCAAGTCTTGAAAAGCAGTAAGACTTGAGTACTCAAGCTGGCAGTGTCAGCAGAAAAACTCTCTAGTCACCTTATTTGGTATCAACAAAAAACTGGCACAGCAGTATAACGTTACAGAAGGCTGTCTCCTTGTGCAACTGAAGTGCTTTCAGAAACTGCAGAGACTGAACTGGCTACAGACCTGAGCAGGGTGACTTGTCCATTTTAGTATTGTGTTAGTGACATGGATACGTTTTTCCAGACTCAGCTGTCCTCAAAACAAAGGGGGTGCAGTTTGAGTAGTTTCTGATGGATATACCAAACACTTTTCTATTGTAAAGCTCCCTTAGTACTGTCACGAGAAGAAAGAAGATGCTGGATGATTCAGGATGCAGCCAGATTTATTCCATTTAATAGGACTGCTGTGTTGTAGTTTCAGTCGAGCATGCTGAGGAAATGACAGCTGTAGTAGTAGATTGGATCAGTTGATCCTAAATATCACACCCAAAGCTTCATGGTCCCACTGTTTTATTCCCAGCCAATCTCTTAGAAAGATCAATGCCAGGCTCATCAGAATGTGCTTAAGTCATGAACTTCATGAAAGGCCGTCCAAATAATTTTTGTGTTTTTTATGTTGCTCTGTGACTATATAGGTTTTCTTCCTATGCAAACCCTCTTTCATACAGAATTGAAAGGGCTGTTGCAGAGTGAAATGCTAATATTCATAGATGCTCACAGATGTTGTTAGGGTCATAGATGTTAGAAGTTCTTGTAATAAGAAATGGGTTTGATCAATTAGGAAGAATATCTTTCAATGGTCAAGGAATGCAAGAATGAAGTGAGACTGGCCAAAGGCTTAGTTGAGCTCTCCCTTGCAAAGAATATTTAAAATTCTTAGATTAAGGAAGCAAAAGCTTCCTTAACCATCTTATTAAAAAGAGAACCAGAAGTGGAAAAAATGGATACTGTATCTTAAAGATAGGGTAGAGGTCAAGATCAATCCAGGTATGGCCCAGGAACTGATTAAATACTTTGCCTTGGGCCTCTGTGAGGATGAAGATGCAGCTGATGACTTTGGTAGGAACCACGTGGCAGTGAGTAGCTGATTTATAGAGATTATCACATCTGAGGTGGAAACAAAACTTGGATTTGTTCAGTGTCAGAATCTTGGGTTCCTGGAATTTTCAACCCTGGATAACTGAAGGAATTGGTACACGAAATAGCAACTCCTGCATAGATCTTCACCAAATCTGTCAACTTGGAAAGTTGGAAAACAGCAAATGTAGCATCTTTTCTTTTTTTTTTTAACAGGGAGAAATGGATGTAGGTAATTGCAGGCCTGATAGCTTGACTTCAAAAGTTTGTAAGGTCTTGAAATGGGTACTGTAGGAATACATAGCCAAAGATATAGAAGTCACAGGAAAAGAGGACAAAGTACGGCATAGGTTTATTTGAAGAAGATCATGTCAAACTAATTCAATATCCTTCTATGAAAAAAGTAACAGGCTTCTTGAATAAAGGTAGTGTAGTGGACTTAAACTAGATTCAAGAAAACTTTTGATATTGTGCTTTATGGGAAATATTGGCCAAACTGGATGCAGATAAATGTTAGATCAAAGAAAGATTACAGCAGGCAATGTTGCAAGGTGAGTCATCTGACTGAAGAGAGATTTACTAGTGATGTTCTTCAAGGATTGGTCTTAGGACCTATCCTGCTTAACAGTTTTATCAGCAACATTGGTATTGGAACTAGATGTGTCCTCATCGGGACATGTCTAGGTGAGCATGCATGTGCTTCTTGCAGCATCTCAAACCCCTTTGAAATGCTGCAAGAGGCACATGTAGGAACAAAAAAACATTCCCCGTGCAGAAAATTTGCAGCACAGAGGCAAAATTAGACCCCTGGATATCCAGGGGTCAAACAATACCCCAGGGGGAAAAAAGTAGGCAAGGCACCGTCCCTGTCCATGCCCTGAGGCAACTGGAGGCTCTGTCCAGCCAGAGCATCTATTTGGCTGGCCCTTGCCCCAGTGCTAAAGCACACTGCCTGCCTGTGCATGGCAGGCAGTTGTGCAAGCTGCAGGGACCTGGACCCAGCTTGCCAAG